TTATATTTAAACATTTTTGCTTTATTTGTCATCCGATAAGCTTATCGAGTGATGTGTTATTGTTGAGAATATTTAAGATTGCCACAGAATCTTCAGCATTGTAAAATATACATTATTATCGTACGTAAAAATTATTATTAAAACTTATTGAAATTACAAAATTGTATCTTATTTAACCAATTGAAAATAAATTACTTTATTTGTCCAATATCCCATAAGATATAAGATACATTGTATCTCAGGCCAAACAGTTTGCATTTTCCCCTTTTATGATGAATATTTTGATATAATTATACAATTTCTCTCTGCAAAATTGCCAGTTCAGCTCTATTAAGCTGTTCAGATGCCTTATAATTTATTTTTCAATAAAATTGACTATTGTTACACGCCCACATGCGGCTCAATAGATAAAACGAGAAGTGCAACAACAAAAATTGCAAAATCCAAAAATCGAAACCTTAAAAAGTGCAACAAAAATATACAAAAAAAAATAAAAAAAAAAAAGAAAAAATGAAAATAAAATTTATTAAATTCAAAACCAGTAGCACTTGAGCAACGTGCCTCGTCGTCGTAAACAGTGAAATCTTTAAGGAAATCATCATTTAACGTTCATCAAATTGCATTAAAAGTGGCTTCTTTGTTTTTTTTTGTTTTTGGGTTTTTATGCACTTTTATGAAGATTGATCATCGGAGCACAAAAGCGAGCGCCTTCTTTTTTACAATCTGCCACACCCACAGCAATATAAACAGCAAAATGTTAATATTGCAAAAATAAATGTAAAATGTTGCAGTAGCAACATTCAAAAGACAAAATAAGATAAAAAAACTAAAAACTTAAGACAAGGTGGTATAAAATAAAAGCCTCTCCAGCGGATAATCTGCCTGGCAAGCCGGCAGTTGCAGTCATGCGGGTAGCGCTGTATTATGTTTGTAGTTTAATACCTAATATCCAAAAAGGAAACAAAAGTCCAAAAAGGAAAAAACAGAATCCAATAACAGCAACAAAATATGGAAGACAAAAAGAACTGACTGAGGGAGCAGCTCCCAACCAGTCAAGACCAAAGGAAGCAAGCTATGCAACATACGTAGACAAAGCTGCGCGTTGTCTATTTACTGGCTCTTACTTCGGTTAACAGGTTAACAGCAGTTTCTTCTGCTTGATTCTTCTTTTTTTTCAATTTTTTGTTTATAATAAAAACAATCCAAAAAATAAAAGAAAAGGAAGACAATGCTGCCACTGCTGGAACTTTAGCAACCACCGAACATCAACGCAAAAGTGGCGTGGAGGCGGTAGTGGCGGCAGTGGCTGCAGCAGAAGCAACGTCTACCAAATGACCTGTTACACCTAAAACAACATGTAAAATTGGCAGCACTTTCAATGAATCATACATATATGAAGATACCAATGCTTGTGAGTTTGGGATGGGTCGGCTACAGGTAGCTCCAACTGTATTCTTTTACTTTTCTTTTTTTGGATAAGTTACCAAAAAGAATTTCCTCCCAACCGATCGTATCCTGTGTGAGCAGCTCACTATTTGCCAAAGTTTTCGTTTCGTCTATATTACAGCATTGACTAGCTTCGCAGGTCACATTTACTCTTGGAACACCGTTCTCTGCTTGTACTTATACCCATGTGTCAGTGTATCTTTTAATAGAATTCGTAATTGCTTCCAAATATCCAATATGATAATATTGATTCGCTGAATACGAATGCTCATGGTATATGTGCTCTGTGCATGCAGCATCCTAGCTAGACTCGTGCATATTCTGTGAATCGATATGCGAAATTGACACTGTACACTGTGCTCTCCTGTGAGCCCATGCCAGAGTCCACCTCGTGCTATACGCCTCATATGTTGTTGTTTGATGACTTCTGAGCAGTTCGCTGGCAACGTGCGTGGGTGGTCGATATACTCAAGCGACTGATTTGCAATACAACAATTTTTCATCTAAGGTGGCATTTTACTTGAATTGTTGCATTTTTTTCAATATTATTCCTTTTTTATCCTATAAAAGTGGTTGAATTCATTGGAAATTCAAATTTCATACACAACCTCAGATACATTTCTAGTGTATGTTTTGGTGCAGTACTTTCCGAACCAAACTAAAATTTCTGCTTGTTTTAAGTTATTCATTTTGTTAGTTGCTGAATTTTTTATGTTTTGTTTACAAAAACAAAAAAAACAAAAAAATAAATAAATAAAATCAATTGTTGCATATAATAAATAAATTATGTAGAATCGCAGAACCGGTCACTGAATGATGGAGTGTCAAGTACATAGAGATATATCTGATCGCACGGTAAAAAAGATGTAGCTTTCAAGGTTTTCTTGCATTTTCTTTTAAGAAAATATTTCAGTTACTTAAGTAAAAAAAGAAAAACAATTCTGATATATAACAACTAATCTATTTTATTCAATACGTATTGGTCAGCATATTTTACACTTTTTACAAAATTTCAATTTACTTTTTCTTCAAATATTCTATTCACCTGTCAGATAATACAATTTAGAACTATTTTTATGGTACGAATATATGGCAAATATTATATTGAAAGTACTACTTTTAGTGAACTTCTGAACTATGCTTGGTCTTATCTCATATAAAACTCATTTGATAAATTATGAAAATAAAGGTAGAAACACATTGATTATGAGTGTTTCAACTCTTGAATTGATATATTTTTAATAAGACTACTTTTATTATTTACTTTTAAAAAAAAATAAATAATTAATTAAAGAGATTTTTCGAACAGTAGTGAACTACAACAACAAAAATTCATTTTATATTATTTTATATTATTTTAATTAATAGAATTTTTGGCTAACCATACAGCTGTTTCAAGTATTGCCAAATACCTGTCATCAGTGGTCTTAGAATTAATACTTCTTATTAATTATTCGTAAATACTGTTTTGGGACTGCAAGTACCAAGAATCGAACTCGTGCCCTGCCAAATTTAAAGCTCAGAGTCAGCGCTCCTTAACCAATTGATCCAAGGCCGTGTACTTGAAATTCATGTTCGCACATTTTTCTGAAGTTTTCTTAATTTGCTGTGAAAGTTTTATTAACAAATTCACTTACTGTGTTTATATTAGAACGAAATCCTAAACCAGCTATATGTTAGTATAATTGATAGATAATAATTGACAGAATAATTAATGAATTATATTTTTATTTTTAATTGTTAAATTTATATTACACCGTAATATATAAAGCCATTTCTTATTTCGAATGCATTTTCTATATAATATTTGTTCTTACAAGTATTTCGTTATATCGGTTATTCAGTGAATCGAGCGTGTATCGTAATAACAGTTGATTTTTGAGACCAGTTTCCGATCTGGGATAGACTAAAAACATACAATTGATATATTTCTTCGTACTATAAAAATTTAAGTAAATGTACATTTTTTCACGTCATTATTTTATGTTTGATCAGAAATGATCACAACTCAGGGAATTTCTTCAAACTATTTTACTTTTAGAAAATCTTAAAAATTTTTAATCTTTTGTACAAATTTCAAATCTTGTTTTTTATCGCAAATAAAAATTGACTGATACATTTTATCAAACAATGAACTGCAATTGTAGCAAAATATTGTAAAAAAATGAACCTGCCCAGAACGGAAATAAATTAAAATCCTAAAAAATGAGCCAGTATATGTACAATAAAAAAATAAAAATAAAAATAGAAATAAAAAAAATTCAAAAAGATACAAAACCTATTTAAAAATATTTATTAAATAAAATCTTTGTTCAAAGAAACGGAAGTAAACTGATAGGCTTGCAAAAAAAAAAAAAATTGAAAAAAAGTATCTGGAAATCGTTTAAGAACTTTTGTATCTTTTACTTCTGAATTATTTTGTACACTCTGCGATTGTTCAAATATCTTATCTTGTATTAGTGCTGTGTGTTTTCAAACTATTTTTTTACCATTGAAAACACTTGTACGATTTACCCTGCATTTATCGCACATTCCCGGTGACAATTGAACAAAACACTGAGGAAGTGCGTTTCGGCATATCCAATTGCTTCCTGGAATGTGCTATTTTACGAGTACATTCTCAAATAGTTGAAATTGTAAATTTATTTGATTTTTTGTCTTTTGTGTATCTTTCTTAAGCCGATTAGAAGTGTCAAATTATTGCTAGGGCAGGTACTCGACAGCCCCTCGAAGAAGATATAAAAGAGTTGACAATGGGCTTCAGTTCAGTTCTGTGTGCGTACATTTTGATAGTTTGGGAGATAATTGTAGAATACTCGCACAATTGAGATGTGATGAGCTTTGAATAATTATATATAATATGGTTATTTATAGTTTTAATTTTTTTTACTTTTAATAATTTGAAGCAATCAATATGAAGACCGTACCGTACTTATCATATTTTCAACGCGATTCTAAAACCACGGACGGGCGCAACTAAATAATATCGCTCTACATATCACGCAATGTTGAGATCAATGTGTACAAGGTTCAAAGTTTTGAAGTTTTCTATTATCTTCCTTCACAAATTCAAGCCGAAGACATGTCAGTGAATTGTTCCAAAGAGCCCAATTTCATTGCGCTCTCAGTACGACGACTAGCATACAAGTGTTAAAGCGTGCAAGACCTCCGAATTTGTCTATATTGTCTTACTGATTTTCAGAATATTAAGTTACTAATTTGTAGATGGATACACACACAATATATTTTTATATAACTTAATATCAATTAAAGTAGTACTTTAATTCTTTTGAAGAATTCTATAATATACTTATATATAGAAGTATATATAAGTATATATAATATACTTATATATCTATAATATATTTTTGGACCTCAAAATATATAACATATTTCAAATAAATTTAAACAAATCAAAACGTTAAGTTTACTTATAATTTTAAAATAAAATAAATTGTCTCACAGTAGGCATTGGTATAGCCATTTTGGTAATATAAAATATCTTCATATATATATTTTTATATATTTTTATTTATTTTAAACGAATTTTAAAACCAAAAATAATATTAAATCAAAATTTTCAGTTCAATCGGCGAAGCTGTTAATAATTAATTAATTTACATAATGTATATTTCTGACAAGGAAGTATTATCATATTTGGAAGAACTTGAGGTGCCAAGTACTCTGGAAGTGATTGCAAAGCTTGCAGGTAGAAGACTTTGTACGCATCGATGTGATGTTATAAATAGTGTTTTTGCCGCACTGGAGAGTTGTGTGTTTCGCAATATAATTGTTAAATACCAAAAGAAGTATTTCAATCCTTACGATATCTCGAAGAAACTGATACCTCTGGAATGTCCTCGACGTAAAAACTTAAACAGGTCAACAAAATCGATACATCAAAAACTATCTAGAACAAAGTACCTCTATCGGAAAACTTCAATTTGTTACTTATGTGGACGAAAAAAATAACGTTAGTTGTTAATCCATTAAACCTAAAAATACTTTCCAGATGACTTCAATTCGATATTTTTTATTGAATTGAAACTTGTCAATATAAATGTGAGTGTAAAAAATGTATTGTGCTTATTAAGACGCTTTAGTATCAAAATTAAATAATATTATTAAATCTTATTTTACTTCTAAACTAGTTCGAAGTGGAAATTAAAGAAAGATAACAATATCCTCAACTTTTAAATCTATGGAAATGAAAAGCTCTTATAAAAATTTTTAAGAAGAACAAAAAAAATTTAAGGTAGAGAAGAGAAGACTGCTGAATCTCGATTGCGAGAGTTAAGTTGATCAGTAGTTCGCGTCTCCAAACTGTCTATGCAAGTGATATTGATGGTAATTATTGAAGAGAAACAATAATCTTTCGACTGAAGAAATTATTATTATTTAATAATAAAAACTATTCAATGTAGTTCGATGGCAGTATTTAATGTAAACCGCTTATGCAAAAAATTGATCTGGTAGGTAGTGTACTTAAATTATAAAACATACTACATTTTTTACTTTGTAAACAGTGGATCTTTAGATGCAGTAATATATCAAGAATCTATATAAAATTTTTGTAATGCATTTCACATCGTTACTGAATCAAATGAGACTGATAGACGTATAACTGAAGTATGGAAGGGTCTGACAATAGGAAAGAGATTTTTTCGATTTATTATAACCTAGAAGGTAATATATATTTATATTTCATATTTAGTTCTATAATTTATAACAATATTATATTCTATTAATTATATAATATATTATATTAGTAATATCATTAATAATAATGTTCATTTATTATTATATCTGAATTTTATTAGAAGCTTAGGCTTTCTAAAAACTTTTACCAGCTATTTTTGTTTATAGTTTGAATTTATTGAAAGATTGCTTCCTTTGTATGAAAGGTCACTCTTTAATTCGTTTATGCTCTGCCATAGTGCATAGATCTCTCTGGCTTTCATCTAAATACAACGTATGGTGTTCTCTCATATTCTCTAAGAATCATATGTCCTCTCTTTTCGTATCGAGAAGACACTGTACATTAATTAGGTACAGTGCTGGTTTTGAGTTGATTGGAAATAGCCACAGTTTTTTATTAGAGATTTGTCTTGATCACCAGATTTTTGCGAATCAACACTATTTACGATTTGGATTTGACCTGGTAACAAAATAGTCCCCAGATCTGCACAAGCGTACCGACTTGGTAATAAAAATTTTAATTTACAATTCGGTACACATATTATTGGCCTATTTGATATCAGATAGGTAAGCGTATGCTGCCGTCCGTAGATATAGAATGTAGAATTAATCGCATCTACAAAATTCTCCATTCTATTAAAAAAATATTGTGTGTAAAATACTTTACGAATTATATCAATAACAACAATTTATTATTGTATACTTTGTTTAAATTAGATTGAAAACAAGAAAGATAGGTTACCAGAGAAAGGAATGTAACCAATTCCGGCTCAAATTGAATACTAAAACTTACTAGTGATACGGAACCAGGTATTTACTTTTTATAATTACTATACATTGTATGATGCATAACACGGATGCACCAATAAAAATCCAATGTAGCATGAATGTTTCTGTTTGATAATTATGAATACACAGGTTTGTTGGCAAAGGTGATGTAATCTCACCGTATATGGTTCCAGCTCCACCCAACACAAATGGATTTATGTGTTACATATTTCCAGTTTTGGAACAACTAACAAAAGAGTCACTTGATGAGAAAATGCTAATCAACGATACTAACATCGAGGGAAACAGCAAATATTTTTCATCAATGAAAATCATCGATTTTCAACCCAGATGGTATGATTGTGTGCCGGTACTATGTAAACAATTTAATTGAATTCAATACTAAATATGATAAAACTGAATGACAGACATCTGTCAAAGAAATATGCATTTACTTAATAATCCATTTTAGTTACATTAGGCCATTGGGTCGGCCGGTGGCCATGGTTTGTATTGAAGTTGATTCAAAATTATAAGCAAATATAAAATACCTGAATATGTTTAGAAATATTTCATTTTATATATTTAAAATAGAAAATAAAAAAAAAATATCTGTATAAAATAAATTGTTAAGTAAACTAAAAATTTGTTTAAATTAATTTACCTACAATTACCTATGAATAGATTCTAACAAAGCGACAATAAACCCACAATGAATTTCGAATACAGATTAAGCCTTATTTCTTCAGCTCATATAAGCTAAAAAATGATTAATCTGCACTTCTTATAATTACAATGGAAGGTTTGGAACCCATATGCGGATTTTTTTACCTTCTCAATCATTCCCGATTTAATTACAAGCAAACAGTAATATAATGAACGTTCGATCATTTTTTTTCCAAAGCCTCGCTAATATAACTTCTAACTTGCATGTACTGCTAGCTGCAAACAATCTGGTTCCATGTATATCTATCGAACAATGACGGACATTAGCACACCGACAGTAATCATATTAAATTAAAGAGAGTGTGTCTGTGTTGACTGTTAATTCTACATTCACTAATTCTACATTGACTAATTCTACATTCAGAACGATCAAATACTTGAATATACAATTTTGTATATATAATATTCCAAATATTAAAGTAATATTCTAAACATGAAATTAATATTCTAAATAAATGTTCTAAATATTAAATATACCAAAACTGTTTTCATCAAATAACGAATGTTCCATATAGAGTGGAGTGTTTCACGTACAATCTATATATTTTAATTATCAATAGGGGCCTCAATTATTTACTTAGTAAACTGAACTATTTTTGATCCAAATTGCAAGTACAATTGTGAATCCCTAGAATGCTAGGATTTTGTCTTGGTGTATAACTTTTGAAATTTATCAACGAATTCGGAGTGAATTACTATGTCTAAAGTACGTGATATCGGATATGAAGCAGCAAAATAGGTATAATTACGACCCATAATGTTGGGCTGGGCAGTCACAGAGAATGTGACTGGAAGTCTCGTCTGTTTCTAAGCAGAGTCGACAATCTATCTCTTCGGACAGACCCATTTTGTTAAGGTGACAACGCAGTCCATGGTGACCCGTTAAATATCCCACCAGCAATCTCAACTCTGTTCTGCTGAAAAAGGATATCTTACCATACTTGTAGGGATGAACCAGCTCTTTAGCTTGACAGTTACCTTCACTGTCACTAAATGTTGTTAGATTTTTAAGTGCAATCTTTCTCAAGCGGTTTGGTTTTCTTAGATTGTTATCTACTATTTGATTCCTCTGTAAAGTTTTTGATAAATCTCATTATAAAACTTGAGTTCCGGACTCAAGTCGTTGATGGATGTAATCACATTAGATTAAGAGAGGACAACTACTAAATTATACTAATGCTGGAATTCTATGAAATTAATATTCTTATTTTAGTTTCAGCATTATCACATTATTTCATACCCTACAATTCTTTATTTTCTCTATAATTTTTTTCAAAAAATATAATAATATTAAAATAATATTCTACACAATTCCTTGCTAACCTTCGATGAATGTTGGATTACGATGTGTGTAACGCAAAGATCCGCTTGTCAGATAAGGAACCCTTGTAAATACTTTGAAGTTGTTGCCACCTATTTCAATTCACAAATATTACGTTAAATGCGTCTGAGTAAAAACAAGAAACTATCATAAAAATACAATAAAATTATTTATACACAATTGAATGTACAAACAAAAGTGCTTATCAGTGGAAGGATGGTTCAGTTATCAGTTGGAGATGTGAGAAATATATTTCGGCTATCCTATGATAGTCCTATGAAGATTAAGGAAAACCATTAAATAGCATAAAAGCACTTGCTGTCGAGGTCTCTATTGCTGCAGGGAAAACCTTGTTTTAATAATTCAGTTGCAAACAAATTTATGGTGAACCTTGGAAAAGTGTGTACCTTACGTGTTTCATAAAAACAAATCGATGATATTTTAACACACTCACCTGAGTTTCTGTTTACAAAACTTAATCTATTCATATATTTACTTTAGATCACAAGAGTATGTCACTTCTATCACTTCATGTGATAGATATCGAACTTTTATTTTATTACAAATTATTTTGTGATATCTTGTATTCAAGAAATATTAAATGTTTGTATCTGCCGTTGAAATACTTCATTCAGCTAAAAGTTGTATTAATCGAATTTGTATAGATCTTCAAAAAATTTTTACTAATTGAATGCAGTGACATATTTATTTGGGTTCTCATTTTTGAATGGCCTGATAAGAAAGGGACGTATTATTGAAGTTTGAGTTGTTGCAAATTTATATGAATTATTTTATTGAAACACTCGTAATAGGGATTAATAGGGACAATTAGGCTCACTGTGAGTGCAGGAAATTTTTCAGATAAACCGTGATTTCAAATTAGATAATCTCATTCATAGTATTTTATATATGATGATTTGTTTCTTCCATTTTTATAGATAAGTATAATTAGATTATTGGAGTATTTCTACTTAATCGTAAATACTAAATACTTAATACTAAACACTAAGTACTTAATACTAAATAATAATTACTAAATACTAATTATTAAATGCTAAATACTAAATTCTAAATGGTAAAGCACGGTGCGGGTTCACTGATGGTGTGGGGGTATATGGCGCCAAGTGGAGTAAGTTAATTGGTGTTTATTGACAATAGAATAAACAAAATGGATTACTTTAATATTTTAAAAGGAAGCTTACAATCTAGTGTCGAAGAATTGTAACTGGATCGCTGCTGAATTTTCCAGTAAGATAACGACTCAAAACATACCGCTTGAATTGTTGAGGAATGACTGCTGTACTATACACCAATACAACTGGAACATTTATGGGAACATCTGGACAGGAATATTCGTAAAAGAGCCATCACTAACATAGACTCTCTGAAGTCGGTATTGTTGATGAATGGCAGAAAATTTCACAGGAGGTGACAAAAATTAGCAAAATTAGCTGAATCATTGCCGAGGAGGCTAGAAGTAGTTCTTCATGCCAACACGTAATATTAAAGTATGGATTTTTTAGCTTTTTATTTATTTAATTTATTACTGTACAGTTTTTGTTGTGTTGCTTTTTTTGTTGTAAAACAAATTAATTTTTTTTTTAATTTAAAGAAAATTAAATAACGTTTTAAACTATTGGAATAAAGTAAACAAATGCTGGAAATGTACTGTACATTTTATTTTGACCCTGACTGTAAAAAAAACCTTCAACAATCACAAAAGAGTAAAGTAACAGACTAAAATGGTTTTCATCCTTTTTCCCTACAATTGTTCAATGCTATTAATGTACTAACACAATACTTTCTAATGGGCACCTGTACCGATTGGGTTAAAGTGATACATTTAACGACTATTATAGTATCTATTCGCTAAAGATTTCATCTATCTAAAGTTTCTATTAGATGTCTTCTGAGCATTATTGTCCGTTTCATTGAAATAAAGCAATGGTACTTGATACAAATCTGCGTACCTTTAAATAATCTCAACTACTTCAAAGCTTTTCTCCGACATCAGAATAAATATGTTTGATGGGAGTTGTCACTACAATCTGTTATCAAACATTACACAATTTGCTTTATTTCATATGACTTGTAGAAGGATGCTAATTTAAAGAAATAAAAAATAGATGGACTGAAGTGTTTTTCCAAAAATTAGTCCAAACATCAACCCAATCTACAATCTAAAATGCTTACCTTGGAAATTTCATTAGCACTTTTTTTCTACATAAGGGAATCTAACAGGAGTAGTTGTCCGTGACACAAATAACCGAAAAGTGTTTCTATTTTTTGTACACGAATAAATTCATATGTCAACATACACAAGTATTTATTTACAAGCATATGTTCGTTCCTCTCTGAAAACCTATGTTCGAGTACTGCAAAGATTGATTATATTTGAAAACATTGATAAAGCATCAACTTTACAGGTGCCATAGGATGTGGTGTGTGCACCTTCCGATAATAAAACAAACATCGTATCTATTTACGCAGAGATTAGACACAATTTCCAATATGTCACAATTTACAAATATTTATGTTAATTTATTAGAGCAGCGGACGGATTTTTATCGAGACACAATTTTTAACAAAATACTCAAATATTTGCTGAACACACAATTTTCAGATATTTTTACAAAATGTTCATTATTGCAACTTGAATCTTTTTTTTCTTGTGTAAATACTTTAATGTATAAGTCCTATTCATATTTTAGATAAACTATAAAGAGTGGCAAAAATATATAATATTTAAACAGTTTTAGATAAAAAAGAACTACAACTAAAAGTTTTAAGTCCACGACAAAAAGTTAAGTCCACGACAAAGAATCATCTCAAAGAGAAACGAGGGTTATAATGGGGAAATCTCTATGGTGGATCCACCAATAGGCCTAAGTGAATCCACTAGTGATCGATGGTATAACCTTACCTAATGGGGAAATCTAAATACAGAATTAATTCTAGAAATATTGTTAAATATCCATTATCAGTGACTTCGCGGCAAGGTTATCATTTGACCAGGAAGTCCAAATATGATAATAACTTCTGATCTTGTGATTAGATATAGTATATAATGCTTTACCATACATGGTAAATGATTCATATATGACTATCTCTAATCACAACATCATAACAGTCATATTTGAAATTCTTACCTCATTTAGACTTCCTGGTCACGGAGTAACTTTGGTGCTCTCAAAACGGAATCAAGCACACTGTTTATCAAGCTAACTCTTTGTTTTAGAAACTTGTGCTTAATTAAGACACCTAGTTTTTCATCTTTAATTTTTACAAATTCACTAGAATTTGTGCTATCAAATCGGAGAATAATCTAGACGACCTAAGAATATAAAATATAAAAAAATGTTATTATCTTTTTAATACAATTAAAACGAAACACTAAAATTACCTAACATATGTAATTTTATTAGATTTTTATTTAAATAATTATTAAAAATTAAAATATTAACAGTTAAGTAATTAGAGTAAGAGTGATTACAATCAACTTTTGTTATGTATTGTGCTTTC